ATGCATCCGGGGGTGGACCCGACAATGAGGTCTACGTTCAACCTTCTCTGGTGTGGCAGTACACTCCAGCAGCAGAGGGAACCGTTCATATTTCTGTCTCGACGCTTGAGCCTGGTGATTATAAAGCTTTTTTCCTGGCCAAGGACGGCTATAAATGGGTAGCTAAAACGATCATCGTCACGCTACCTCAAGACTCCAGCCTAATCTCATTCATTGTCGACGAGATCACTCTGCAGAATGCACGTCGTGGCGACTTCTTCCACGCCGGGATTGGCGGTCTGATAAGTGGCGGCGGCGGCTCCACGATCGAGTTCACAGAGGTGAACTCTTCAGAAGACTGGATTGAAATCTCTGCCAACGGCACGATCTCTGGGATCCCCGAGCCATCAAGCCGCCGCACATATGTGGAAATTGAAGCAACGGCATCCGATGGCTCATCTGCCCGTATCAATGTCACTATTCCCGTACGACGTGCTGGTGTACAGCTCGTAAGCGACCTCAATGTGTTGACTTTCAACCTTTGGCACGGTGGTACCCAGGTCAATGACTACCACAAGAAGCAGGTGCGCTTTCTCGTTGAGCACAATGTCGACATAGCTGGATTGCAAGAAAGCACTGGTGGCCATGCTACACGCTTGGCTCAAGCTTTGGGCTGGTATGTCTGGCAGAGCAGTGATGTGGGTGTCATCAGCCGTTATCCGATTACTGAAGTGTTCTCGGAGGTGTCAGGCGCTGGAGCAGTCAAGATATCCTTGGATGGCGAAAAGAGCGAGCTGATCGTTTGGGACGCCCATCTAGGCTATGATCCTTATGGCCCATACGATTTCTGCTTTGATAACATGACTTTGGAGCAGGTCCTGGCACGAGAGGCTATCTCAAATCGCACACCACAGATCACTGGTATCATGGCAGCCATGAAAGATCAATTGGCGAATGCCGACAAGGTACCTGTACTTCTACTGGGCGACTTTAATGCACCTTCACATTTGGATTGGACAGAAGCTGCCAAGGACCTTCATTGCGGAAGATTTGACGTACCATGGCCAACCTCAATTCAACCCACAGAGGCCGGTATGATTGACTCTTTCCGCGTTGCGCAGCCAGATCCAGTCGAGGTGCCAGGCATCACTTGGTCGCCAATCTTCCTTACCAACAACGGTCGTCCTGAGCCTCTGGATCGAATCGATTTCATCTATTACCAGGGAAATCTGACAGTGGAATCTTCGGATATTCTCGTAGAAGGGAACCCGGCGCCAGAGCCCAACCACCAAGACAACGATTGGACGTCTGATCACGCAGCTGTCTTGACCGTCTTCAAGCTGCCATCGAATGGGCTCAGTCCATGCGTGCCTCGTCGCCGCTAAAGAAAATCAAATCAACTATCTTACATATGCATGTAGAGTCGCGGTTTGAGCAAGTATCGCTTGCGCTTGGAGGTATGAGTTGTCGGTACACTTCATTTCTTTAGACGTAGCTATATGCACGTGTTAGAAAATATGTGTTGGACAAGACAACTCGATCGAGTAGAATAGATAGATTTTATCGTTTAATGATCCGAACAAGTTTTGTGAAAAGGCTTTCTTGTTGTTAACCTCAGCCTGGAGATAACTTTTAGACACATATGCACAGGTATCGACAAGGTATTCCATTTATGGTTCGGTCATAGATACTGCTGCATTGATAGATTTTCACACGTTGACTGTTAGCTATCTACAAAATTCACTTTAGATTGGGCTATAAAGCACCACCGGTGGGATTTGCATACGTTCATTGGCGAGTGTCCATTGGTATAAGTGGACAGTGTGTATTTCTTCGTTATTGGTCTCACATGTTAGTAGCCAGCAACTATTTCGGGACAGGAAACTAAGACTTTCAAACTTGACCAGCGGCTGGGCCACCGCCATCGATAGCAAACAAGCCTATCGAAGCCATTGGTGCAAAATGGAGGGTCGTTCACGGCAGTGCTTGGCCTCTTCAGCTGCTGCACAGCTTCCACAGCCGGAGCCGCTCCGCCAAATCACGATCGGTCCTGCTGGAGCCTACTGCTGCAGACCCCATCTTGCGACCGACGACCTACATGACCACACACCATCGATGAACGACCTGCGTAGGCTCCTGTGAGCAGCATCGAGGAATATGCCGAAGCCTGCAGCAAGTGTCAGCAGGCGGGTGGGCACCAAGCAAATCGCACACGGCGGAGCCAGCTTCTCTATCGCGGGTGTCAAAAGTGCAGGACTCGGATAGGTGAGACCTTGCAAAGAAAAGAAAAGCATCGCTAGCCAGTAGACCCGAGTATGTGGTGCGGTGCTCGAGTTTGCGAGATCTTGAGGTTGAAAGGTCGAGTTTCCCCTCTGGCTCTCTCTTCTCACTCTGTGTTTGTCTTTCATTGTCTTTTCTTCGGCCTCATGCTGAGTGGCTCTCTTACCATCCTCTAACAGCTCATCGCCAGATGGTCCGCGGCCCTTCTTGCAGACGCCACGGGCTGTCTCTGACAATTCGTCATCAGTCCTGTTTTAAGGACAGGCAAGCAGAGCCTGACCGAAAAGGCTGATTTTCTCAGAGCCCAGTGCTTTGTCCTGCCTGGCGATGAGCCTCCTCTCTCATGAACAGAATTGAACTATGTAACAATCATCAAGATGCTTGTTCTAGTGCGGCGTTTGGTGCTATGTGACCTAAGTAGTTCTGGCTTTGAAGTTCTCGCTCTCGGAACAAGAACTCTTCACGACAATACAATGAAAAACCTGATCGACGACTCGTGGGCAGCACAAACACTAATCCCCGGAACAAGCCCCCTGACTGGGCTTCAGATTCCACCACGGGATCTTCGAGCAAGGGACTGCCTCTCGAACGGAACAAACTACTGCTTTGGAGACAGGGTGAACTATTGCCTGGGCTGCGGTGTCTGCTGTCAAGACTCGATCGACACGAAATGGTGTTGCAGCTTAGATAGCATATGCTGCGGTAGCCAATGCTGCACCAAGGGCCAGTCGTGTTCAAATGGGCGATGTTATCTACCTGTGTAAGAAAGAATAGATCGGAGACTGCTACTCGGAGACTGATGATCGTGTAGGGTATCGGTAACAAAGACTAGCACCCTGCTTGTCACGGCGTCACACGAACTGACACAGATTGTAACCGTCTTCGAGGACGTTGTTCAGACCTCTACTGTCAACTCAATCATCCAGATCACGGTCTCCAGCCTAGCCACGCAGACTAATGTCCAGTGGGTGACTACAACACTTGCAGATGCAAAACGGGCAGCGCCGACGCAAGGGGCTGCCGCTCTGCGGGACGAGTCGGTCTTGGGACGAAAAGCTTTGGGAGGCTTTGATATCGCGAACGTGTTTCGTCGCCTTGTTGAGGTCGCCCATCGCCGTTCAAACTGCGTAGATGATTGTCGACGAGATGTCGAGGATAGCAGGGTGCGTCCACGACAGGAGACACAGCCGGCCCTATCTGCATCGGCATCCACTACCACGATTATCAGCCGTATAACTCAGACAGTCGACAGGACTAGTATTCTGTCTTCTACCACAACCCGCTCTGCAACCTCGACCGTTCTCACGATTCTCTATCAAACAGCAACGCGAGTTCTCGATGCTCAGACCACTGTCTCTGTCACAAGCACCCTAACCGTCCACCCGCCAAAGCCAACGACCATCACAAAGACAGAATTCGCCTCGCTCCCAGCTGAATCAGCCCCATCCTCCACCTCATCAACACGCACGCCCGGCCTCGCCATCCCAACCGGCAAGTCCAGCAGCGACGACTCGACCGTGCTCTCCACGCCCGCCATAGCCGGCATCGCCGCAGGGGGCTTCGTCGCGCTCCTCGTCGTCCTCGGCATCGCACTTCTCATCTGCCTCAAGCGGCGGCGGCGCCGCCAAGCCGCCGCCGCCGCCCGCGTCGAGGACGACCTCAACGCCTACTACGGCATCATCCCGCCGGTCGCCTTCGCCTCCGCCCGCACGCTGCGCCGCGAGCCCAAGATGCCGCCCGCCGACATCTTCGCGCCGACGAGCCCGCAGCACCACGGCGCCGCGTTCCACTTCCAGCCCGCGGCCGGTGCGGTGGTGCCGGCGGCAGGCCAGCACGAGCGCGCCGTCAGCTCGCACACGGCGGCGACGACGCTCGTGGGCAGCGCGGGGAGTCCCGTCCCGCGAGCCAAGAGCCTGCGGGCGAGCAGCGTTCAGCCGGCGCTGTCGCCGTCGCCGCCGGCTGAGGTGGCTGGGCTGGATGTGCCGCCGAGGTACGAAGTCGAGGGGAGCAGTCCTTCCGTTGGCAGTCAGGGCGCAGGGAACGGTGGTGGGAGCTGGGGGGAGGCGCATCGTCGGACGGGGTCGGATGACACTGGAAGGAGGAACAGGAGGAGTGATGGGGGTTATTTTGCCATCAATTTTTAGATTTTCTATGTAAACTTTCTTTGGAAGGGGAGTTCGGTCGGGCTGGTGATGGAACCAGGGGTTCAACGGCTGACGGAGTTTGGAAAAGGGAGACCTCGACGGCGTCGTATTCTTGTGGGATTGGAAGATTACATGGTATGATCTAGGACCATCGCTTAGCTATTGCTATATCATCATAATCACCAAATAGGAGTTGTGCATCATGCCAGCCTGCTCAGGACTCTGCTCACTCAAGGTCCAGAATGCATGGGAAAACCGAGAATTATTGAAACCTTTCAATCATGCATATCATTTCGTACTTAGCGGTCATATACTATATATAAAAATATACACATCCATGTCTCCCCATGTCATCTCCTCGTACATCACCGCTCATAACGCGGAAGGGGCTCAGCGGGAGC